CAGATTGTGGATCGAGACAGAGTGAACTGTATTTTGCCGCAGGGCAGACCGAGGTGTTCAGATCCCCCATTACTGAGGAAGAATTTCCTGGACCTTAACTTTTAGTACAATGATTATTTGGATTATTTGGAGGTTTGATAACCGCCGTATGAACACATCTGCGGATGTTTCTTAATTCAAAATTTTACCATTTCATGTTTAAATGTTGAATTCTGCTTAAGCCGGTGCTAGGGGGCGTGGACGGTAACTTGCACTTTCCAGTACCGTCCATGAACAGGCTCAATCAAACCGAGCCTGCATCATTTTCAATTTTGCCGTGTTGGGCTTTCTTTAGGGATTCTTTATTTATCTATTTTATGATCACATCCGTGTTATTTGTGCCGTGTGGCGGCTGTAAAAAGTCGCCCCGTACATTTAATCAATGATGTTATATTTTCGATCCTTGAAGATCGTTCAGCACGACATGATTGTTGTGCTTGTGGTATTTTTAGTTTCAACTTTTCGGCATTTTCTAGTTGGGTGGTTCCAATATTCCTACTTGAATAATGTTGAATCACCCTTAGGATATGTTGCCTGCTTTTTAAATTTGTCTTTTGACGTCTTATCTGTGATACGCAGGCTTCATAACCTCTGATCCCCTTTCAAAATTCTATTTTATTTAGTTCCGCCCATTGTTTTCTCGTTTAGGGCACACGCTTTTTATTACCTGGGGACAATACGCCGCTTTTCATGGAATGGCACGGAAGTGTCACATTGAAGGTTCCATGATAACCGCCGTATGAACACATCTGCGGATGTTTCTTAATTCAAAATTTTACCATTTCATGTTTAAATGTTGAATTCTGCTTAAGCCGGTGCTAGGGGGCGTGGACGGTAACTTGCACTTTCCAGTACCGTCCATGAACAGGCTCAATCAAACCGAGCCTGCAACATTTTCAATTTTGCCGTGTTGGGCTTTCTTTAGGGATTCTTTATTTATCTATTTTATGATCACATCCGTGTTATTTGTGCCGTGTCGCGGCTGTAAAAAGTCGCCCGTACATTTAATCAATGATGTTATATTTTCGATCCTTGAAGATCGTTCAGCACGACATTATTGTTGTGCTTGTGGTATTTTTAGTTTCAACTTTTCGGCATTTTCTAGTTGGGTGGTTCCAATATTCCTACTTGAATAATGTTGAATCACCCTTAGGATATGTTGCCTGCTTTTTAAATTTGTCTTTTGACGTCTTATCTGTGATACGCAGGCTTCATAACCTCTGATCCCTTTCAAAATTCTATTTTATTTAGTTCCGCCCATTGTTTTTCTCGTTTAGGGCACACGCTTTTTATTACTTGGGGACCATACGCCGCTTTTCATGGAATGGCACGGAAGTGTCACATTGAAGGTTCCATGATAACCGCCGTATGAACACATCTGCGGATGTTTCTTAATTCAAAATTTTACCATTTCATGTTTAAATGTTGAATTCTGCTTAAGCCGGTGCTAGGGGGCGTGGACGGTAACTTGCACTTTCCAGTACCGTCCATGAACAGGCTCAATCAAACCGAGCCTGCAACATTTTCAATTTTGCCGTGTTGGGCTTTCTTTAGGGATTCTTTATTTATCTATTTCTTGGACCATTACTGGCATTGTAATGAAATAACAAAACATACTGATAAAACTGGAAGGTAAAGAAATTTATTCAATTCATTTTAGTAAAGTCACAGCTTAAAACTATTCACTATTGAAGGGGGAGATGTGTAAGCGGATGGATAGCTAACTTGGTAGTCAGTTGCGGAACAGTACCCCGGAGTAACCTGGCTCATGTCCCGGTCAGGCGATCAGGCTGCAAATTGTTCTCACCCTTTGACATTTGACTCCCAACAGATAATAATAAAACAATGTGAAATTGGCCTTGGAGTATCATACCATCCCCTATTCAACAGGGGACTGTGATGGTATACAGCTCCAAGTTCTATTTCAGTGTTCACTGTAGCAAGGACGAATTCCTATATAGCAGGGGAATATGACATTATTTCGAACTGTCCACTTTTTAAGTAAGATGCTGTGTAAGCAGAATAATAAATTTGTCGCTTGAGCCGTGAAAAAGTTTTCCGAGGGTCCCGGGTTCAAGTTCCGGTAAGGCTGTACATTTTTTTTTTCATTATGACAGCTACATAAAAAAGGTCTTAGGCATGTAATGTTGCTTACTGAAAATATCGCATATTAAAACATATTTAGTGTATTATGTCAATAAATTTCAATTTTAAGTGCTATGAAAAATATTTTCTGAAGCGCTCTTTTGTTAGTTCCATATACTGTACAGCTTACACAAGATTCACAATTTTTTGAGTCCCAAACTCCTCCCTAACCGGCACCAATGGAAGTGCATGAGGTTGATAGGTCTCCTTATTTTCCTCATTTTTTCTTACAGTGTCGAACCCAAAATAAACGTTCATTCTTCTTATTATACTCTCATTCATTAAATTGCATAAGGCTGGCTTGTGTGGGCACATCATATTAGTAATTGTCACCTCGTATATATAGATCTAGCCCGATGCCGGGTTGCAATGTATGTTTTTTCCGTTGTGTAACAATGACAGATTAATTTCGTTCGCTGCTATGTAAATGACTTGATGATTTGATCGTTGATTTGTTAAAGTTTCTAGCATTTTTTATTTTTGTTTACGCCAGAAGCGGTGTCGACGTAATTAAACGTCTATGTAAGAGATTCCTGGGCTAAAGCAAAGTAGTTTGGTCGGAAGTGCGCATAAAGACGAACCAGTGATTTTTTTAGTATAAGCGCATGATCACATATGTTGTTTAGAAATCATTTGTTGAGACTGTGACAAAAAAAAATGTTTGTGTCAGGTTGTGGACATTAATTCAAAATAAACATGCTTAAAATACATGTCTAGCTATCATAAATTCAAATCGCTAAACGGTATAACTAAAGGTGTTAACAACTTTTTTAGATGAGGTGTAATTGATTACGATATTTGATTCAACGTTTTGAAAAGTTTTTACTTTGCAAGCGTTTTAAAGCGCTTATATCTTTTAGCGTATTTCGTTCAGAGCGTGCGCTTTGTGTGCAAAAAGAAACGTTCAAACTACTGTAAAGGATGATTTACTTTTGTGGAGTTTTCAGTATACCTGGTTTACTTCAGTACATGAAATAAGTATGTCAATAGTAACAATCAGCTCGTCTTATCCGAAGGATTAATAATATCTGTCATATGTTGCGGTTCGGACCGGAATATCCGTCCCGAGGGGATCCGCCCATTGGGCGGTAACTAGACTTGCCGAGTTACCGCCCATTGGTGGGTTCCCGAGGGACGGATATTTCGATCTGAACCGCAAACATATGTTGCATATTATGCCATATTATTTCATATTTCAAATGGTTTACCTCAATATGATATATGTTCATGGAAATTAGAGTCATTTCATCCATAACTATTTTCTTACAATAGCGCATGAACTTACAACTTAGATAACAACGGCGAAATTACGTCATCCTAAGCACACATTTCCCTGATGAAATTTCCGGCATGGGTAAAACTCACGGAAACGCCAGTCTGCTATGCAAGAAATGCCGAGCTATTTTCAAAACAGCCTTAACGTTGACGCTGTCGTCGTGCAAGAACGTCTTATTTAGTTCATTCCTCAAACAAATTTAATTGTATCAACACATCATGGGAGTTTTTATTGTCATAATAAGATGTAGTCGTAAAACAAAGGGCATACTTATAAAAAACATTATTTAAGGAGATGTGCTCCCTTTCAACTATACATGTATATATACTTTTTGTCAAAATTGTCTGACAATAATTGAATTTTTAACACAAGGACTAGTTTTAGACTACGGTTATTATTGTAAAAGCAATATGTAAAGGACTTAGACAACGTGTTTACGAATGATCTAATGTAGCCTTGTTTCGCTTTATTAAATTTCGGTTTTACAGTCTATTGTTTTTATACGTAGATTAGAAAACATTGAATTTCCATTTAAAGTAAGTGTAAATAAAAATGCTTTGCAAAAAGCGTGAAATTTGAAATTGGTCCTGACTTGTATATTCATTGACAACTAAATCGCGAAATAAATCGTGTCATTCCACAGTAAATTATGAGTCTTATTTAAAATCATGTAAAACCCGAGCCCAATAACTTTACACTTTTAAATTGTATACTTATGTTCTTGCTTAACTATACTTTGTCTGCCTTTTATATAAAAGTCACAATTCTTCATTCATGATCATTTAACAAACTTTGTAAAAGTTTTCCGTCATCATCACGTTTTGCGTATTTTTCTATTGTTGACGTCAACGACGTCATTTCCTGCAACCATAACATTGTTTAAGATAAGTGATATGTGATTAAGAAAAATAAACAGAAACTCCTTGAAAAAGAGGGGTTTAACCCCTCGAAACGTTAGAGATTGAAATGTTTGTGTAGTAGATAATTATCTACTAACTGTCTCCAGAAGAATGATCATTTTATTTCGAACGTTTGTATTTGCACCGTTTATATCATCAAAGATGTTATACTTCGATATTTGAAGATTGTTCAGCACGAGTTTATTATTATGTATACATATTATTATATTTTCCCCCTTTAAATTACCTTTTTCAACTCAGAGGATTCAAATATTTCTACTTGACTACTGTATAATAATCCGAAGGATATATTGCCTCCTTTTTATTTTTATTTATTTATTGACGTCTTTTATGTGAAATGCAGACTTTATACCCTCAGGTCCCCTATAAAGGTTCAATTTCCATAAACGGGCTCAGTCAAACCAAGCCTTCAATATTTATATATTTTGTCGTTTTGGGCGTTTGTTGAAGGATTCAGTTTTTTTCTATTTTACAATAATGATATCAAATTCAGGGCTTCAACTTTTATCACGATTCAGACTGGGATGTCGATGGGAGAATCCTGAATGTGTTACAAAGGCATTAGCACATAGTATTACTCACAGGTTTATAACAAAAGAAACAACACACACAGTTTTTCTTTGTGACAATGTGTAATTTTGTGAGAACGAAAGTGCGAAATATGTGTGTTTTAAACAAAACAGACGTGATCAAAACAAAATCCTAATAGTTCATGAAAACTCTCAAAAAAGCACTTCAACAATATTATAAGGTAATGTTAATCATCACTTTACAACTTTATATACAAGATGACCAAAGATAATGCTTTAAGCAAAACTTAATTTAAAAATGTTTCGTTTCATAACGTTTTTATACAATTCGCTTTCTTCCAATGTGTTAAGAAATGGTGTAATCAATATTTAATATGTTATTCTTTTTTGAATAAATAAAGACACCGATACTTTTATAATTGACAAAGTAACGGTTTTATAGAAACGTTTTACTTCTAATAGGTGGCAAAACGTTTGCATTACTAAGAGCTCTCCTGCTTACCGCCTCAACGGAAGGGAGAGGCAGCTGTCTTGTATTTATTGAGTTTTCGACAATTCCAGACCTTTTCGAACATCTTTTGTCAGTCGTGAACCTACTTCTTCGTGCTTCATCGCTCCTGTATTCAAAAACTGTTTTTACCTCTGTCAAATTCGCGGTGCTTACTGATGACCTTCTTGGAATATATGAAATATCAATTTTTTCCCGTCGAGAACTGTTATTTCCACCATTATCCAATAGACGAGTAGTCTGTATCTTTGCTGTCTTTGGGCGATTATCAAATCGCATTCTGTAGCTAGTATGTCTTCCACTTTCAGCACTCATATGAATTTCTTGGACATGTGTAGCCGATGTGTCAAATTGCTGTCGCATGTCAGATGATTTTCTTAAGCTAACGTTATTTTCATGATTTTTAACAGATGATTTTTGTTTGCGTAAACGATTCTCTTTCTGCTCAACAGCTGCTTGATGTCTGGAATAACTTTTCTCTAGGTCATCAATAACGACATCTATATCCTTTTGTTGTTCCTGTCGCCTCTTTGTTATCTCTAAAGAACAATGTAAAATTGCATAAATATTCGATGCATTTTGAATATCTTTCTTAAATTTTTCGATGTCGTTTGCATGGTTTTGTTGAAGTTTTGCTAGCTTTAATTTTGCAGTTTGAAGACTTATTGTTAAATCATGCTTTTCAATACCCGTTGCCTGTTTGCATTGTTCATTTCTACGTAATAAGCTTGAAATTTTTCCGATCTGTTTTTCTGTTTCACTGTTCAGTAATTCAATGTCAAACTGCACAAGGTCAGAATATTTGGGCGTGTATTCCTCAACACTCTGCACGTTTCTACATTCTTTTTGTTCCGTTCGCAGACAATCCCCACAAATCAACATTGAGTGATTCACGCAAACATGTTCATTAATTTTGTTTAAGTGCAATTTGCAATATTCATCTTCGGATTTTAACTTGTCGATGACTTCATGAACAATTATATTTTTCGGAAAACATACCTGCCAACTTTCGCGATCATTTACTCTATCCGAAAAATACTGTTTATCTTTATCTATCTTTTTTCTGCAATACGGGCATTTGATATCACTTTCGTTGTTTGATAAACTTGCGGACACGTAATCTAAAATACATTTCAGGCAAAACATGTGCTGGCATGAACCTATCACACGCGGATCTGTTAAGGTCTGTAAACATACCGCACAGTTAAGTTCGTCTAGTCTTACACTAGTTAAGACAAGCCGACTTTCTGCCATTTTAAATAATTCTGATCCTTATGTTGCTGTCCGCAATCAGTTAAACATGCCATTACGATTAAAAAGGAACTCTATCAGTCTTTTTCCCTGGGAATCTGAAACAATGTAGAAAACACTGATATTATTTTATAGTTATTCTATAACTACTATGTTTAAATACTAATATAGTAACAAATGATGAAATATTTCAAGACATACGTATTTAATTTGCGAATTTTCACAGTAATAATGCTTTTTTTTCAGGTTACTAAACCATCAGGCGAATTATGCGAGATCGTTACAATGAAACTAACTACTGTGTAAGAAAATCATGCAGCATAATCTCTCAAAAACACAAATATATATACATATTATAACAGTAGCATTGTATTGACGCTTAAATACTCTCAGCTGGTCGTCGAATATTGTTTCATACACATAATGGTTTGTGTCCGTAAACAAAGGAGCACGTTTTATCGGAGGATAATGTCACACAAATAGAAGGAATGGTTTTTCAATTGTCATGTGTAATTTTGTAACACTACCCGCCGACTTGTTACTTTTGAAACTTTACTAAGATCAATTTCTTTTATGTTTGGCTCAAGTTAGAAACACTCCTTTAGTAGATTAAATCATCAACCTAAGTCTATAAAACTATTTCTTCAACAGGATATTATCGTCGATCGTAATAAACGTTTCATATATCATAAATACTTTTAACACCATTGCACACGAGTTATAACTGAAACATCGGTAACCTCCCTTTTAACATTCAAATAGTATTCTATAAATTTGAAGGAATTATAGTTCATCTAATGCAAACTTTCATTGTTGAGGAGAGGTCATACACAGGAAACATTGTAATTGGATTGACATATAATTGTGGGTCGCCTATTGCATAATACGTATCTTTTCGAACCGATTTATCTTTTTTACGGTAGAGATACGATTCAGTTCTACTAAACTTGACGCATTGGAATTTAAATGTGAACACGCACATGTTTATCAATGATATCAGTGACAAAAAGAGAATGATAACCAATGTTAATAAGTTCAATTTTAAGCATTGGAAAGGGTATCTTAAAATAGTTCCTTGCCTTCGGCATTGACTAATTTTGCTGTTAAGCAGCTTTGAACCTAAATGGAAGATAAATACATTACTTATTATTGTAAAGAAAAGTCTTAACATTTCTGTTTGTTCGTGACAGAATAGCTGTATTTGATTATATGTTTTATCGCCAAAAAGTCTTTATGAAAATGTCAAACAAACATTTTTCACTGCTGATTATCAAATTTAATAGTGTAATCTAACGTAATACCAAACGCGTTGTAGTGTGGCCAAAGCGACACTTGCTAACCGACATCGCCAAAAAAAGCGCTTTATTTATGTGTATTGAAATTTCGGGTGTTAAAGCTGTGGAATACCATGATTGATACGAATGCGGCAAGTGATAATTAAAGCAATTAAAGCAACCAAATTGATAATTAAATTAAAGTATACACATATAAATCCAAGTAGAAATACATATCATCTCAAAAGCTCAAATAGTACTTATGATTGTTTATTATTTTATTAATTCTACATAAACCATAACTTATTTAAGTCCAAAACTAGTTAAAAATATCAAATATGATTATAATTATTATTATGACCAAAGGTGTGTTTTCTTCTTTGAATAGCACGATAGAAAAATTGATGTGGCTTAATCATGATACTTAATGAGAAAGAACCTAATTATCTGGATAGATATATCTTCAGCCGTTTATTGATTATATTGTTACTAACGATAGTATAAATATGATTTTGGCACTACAAGATTCTGCATAAAATAGCGAAAAACAGAATCCCTAAAGAAAGTTCAACACAACAAAATTAAAAAATGTTGCAGGCTCGGTTTGATTGAGCCTGTTCATGGACGGTACTGGAAAGTGCAAGTTACCGTCCACGCCCACTAGCACCGGCTTAAGCAGAATTCAACATATAACGCGAAAAATGTAAAATTTTGAATTTAGAAACATCCGCAGATGTGTTCATTCGGCGGTTATCAGACTACAGTGAAAACATCTCCTTTACAGTTTATGTGCATGAATTACCTTGTTTTTTTTTACAATCAATATATAATTGCAAGAAAGGAAATATAGAACCAGAATGGTTTTATTAACAGACGTGCTACTGTGATTTTACAAACGGTATTTTAAATGCCAGATAGTTTGGAGGTGTCAGTTTGAATATAGAAATCAAGCCAGTTTCAATTGAAAAAATGTATTGTATAATTAAAAAAAACCAAAAACATTTTGACTCAGAAGTCTTCATCAGGTATACTTTTTCACAGAAAATGACGTCAAATTCACACGAAGTCAAGGGCAACAACGTGATATAAGTGAGATATTAGTCCGAGTGATATAATGATGCGGATCCGAACTCCAAATGTGTATTATTTTGATTCTAACACGACATCAACAACAAAAATGCTGCCGTATCGGATATCAAGCTAAATTGCGCCTGATTTTCTTTCGTATATTTTTGTTTTTGTTTTTACTCAGTCTGTACTTAGTCTAGTCAATCCTCTATCGAAATCTTAAACATACTATTTTAAATAAAGCATTTCAATATCTATTTGGCTAAGGTAAAATGACGTGATTTAAAACATATCGTTCGTAAGATTAATTTAAAGCTACACGGTATTACAATTTGAGAATCCGAAGCGTTTATAGATTTCAGCATTTCAATAAATATGTAATAGAAAGAGCACCGAAACACGAGGCTATCTGATTTGTACGAGGGGGCGTAGCCCCCGAGTATTAATCAGATTGCCGAGTGTTTTGGTGTTCTTTCTCTTTTGTATCATAGTCAAACATAAAAGCACGTTCCCTATTGTCACAATATGAAACCCCGGCAAAAATGAACCAATGAACGAACATCTGAATCTGACATTTCGGTCGCTTTCCCTTTCTCTGCCGTCACAAAATGTAAACCCCAGCAAAAATGAGCCAATCAATGGGCATGCTCTGGAGTGCGGGTAACTAATACCCGCACTCCAGTTAACGCACTGTGCATGTATATGTATACGATTTAACCCTGACACATTTTCAACAGAAAGGTCTCCAAACTATGATACAATTTGTTGTTATGTCATACTAGTTTAAATAGCTTGAACGATCTAATTCAAAGGTTAAATCGAAAAAAGCGTTAAATTTGTTGATTACAATCATCTGTTTCTTAAGGATTGCACAGATATATAATTCCATTTATTGTGTCTTAAATACTTAAATAGTTTGTGTGAGGAATAAATAGCAGCAACAATCTCTTTCTTCAACGATCTATAAGTTAGAATGTTTGAATAATTTACATACTTTAATAGGATAATATTCCTATATTTAGAATCACTTCATGTTTAGAATGACAATATCTGTATAATCATTAAATAATACATCGTTTGTATTTTTAGAATGGCGTTAAGTTACGAAATGACATCATTATTCTATTTTATCTCCCAGAAGTATACCAAGTTGACTTGTAGACATGATTTAGGAAGTGGTTTCGCGCAATGAGGGTCAGGTGCTAACGGAGAGATGACAGAGAAATACATGTACATGTTTTATTAATAATACTTATCCATGAATTTGATGATAACAATGATAAAACGAACACAAATTTTAGAACGATAAATGATAGTTCAGTAATATGAGTGAAAAATGAAAACTAATTATAACTTTTCATGAATTATGTAATAGAAAGAGCACCGAAACACGAGGTTATCTGATTTGTACGAGGGGGCGTAGCCCCCCGAGTATTAATCAGATTACCGAGTGTTTTGGTGTTCTTTCTCTTTTGTATCATAGTCAAACATAAAAATACGTTCGCTGTTGTTACAATATGAAACCCCGGCAAAAATGAACCAATGAACGAGCATCTAAATATGACATTTCTGTCGATTTCACTTTCACTGCCGTCACAATATGTAAACCCCAGCAATAATGAGCCAATCAATGGGCATGCTCTGGAGTGCGGGTAACTAATACCCGCACTCCAGTTAACGCACTGTGCATGTATATGTATACGATTTAACCCTGACACATTTTCAACAGAAAGGTCTCCAAACTATGATACAAATTAAATGTATTTTAATTTTTTCAATACACGGATTGAATTTATATAAATAACTATTGATGCAAAAACAAATTTATAATACAAAATATTCATATTATTAACACTGAAACATTTTTTATTTTACCTGAAAAACTACTTTTGTTGAAGATGTTTCCTGCTGGACGTCCAGTGATAAAAATGACTCCAATCACTGTAAGTTGTGTTATTCTTTATTGCGCATGCTCGGATCTATTTTCACTAACGATATCACTATGTTTGGCGTGTGTTGATTTATGTGCGGAGTGATTAGCAATGGCCTATTGATATGTCAAGTTAATCTACATTGAAAGTTTTGCGTATTTTTTTATTTAGAATACGAAGAAAGACGCCTTAATGTCTAGGATGTGGTGTTATACGAATGACAAATTTGTTTTTTGTTATTTGATTGATATATTAATACTTCAAAATGAAGACTCAAAAGGCTCAATTGTTAACATTTTGACATATATCTAGAAAGAAAAACGTTTTATTCGTGTAGATATTTGATTCTTTTGACAGTTCTGTAAGAAAAAAAAGCCCTAGGTTCTCGATTCGATGTTCAGCCGTAATCGAGTAAAAGTCCTGTAGCGATTTTTAAACATTTTTTTCAAAGTCCATAAAAGCTTAAGTTAATATACTGTTGATCTTGATGTGTAGATACAGATGATATATAATTTTATAGATCCATCTTTTACCGGTTCTGAGAAAAGAGTTGCAATATTGCAAACAGAATCACTTATTCGTAACATTTGTATATTTTTTTATTTATAAAAACATGGTCAAATTGCATATCAAACGAACGGCCTTCACAAATGCTATCAGCTGATAATAGTTCTATCAAAAGCAGACAATCAGAAACCAAACCGTGTGTTTATAGGTCGATACTCTTTGAAGTTTTAGTTTAATCAAAATGAACGCCACTTACTGAAGATCCTTTGACCAAAGGATGAAATACTACAAGAAAAACCTTAAGACGTTTGAAACCTATCA